CCCCCCCCCCCAAAAGAAAACATTTTTAAAGTCACTTTCTTAATCTCCTCATTCTGCCATTTTGTTTGAAAACCTTTTCCCTTTTAGTTTCCCTCCATTCCATAAAAAATCTGTTGTGCAAAGGTTCATTCAGACATTTATGGGTGATGTTGTCCATACTTATATGTAAGAAGTATAAAGTATCAAGAATCTCATTAGAACCATTTTGGTCTCTCTCTATAACAGACAGTATTCTATGAGCTTCAGAAGTCACCATGTCGAGTAGACCATAACAGTCTGCGGGTCAGTGATCAGATTGCCACAGTCATTATTGCCAGTCAGGACAAGAACTGATATTCCTAGAGTGGCAAATTGGTTTTGCAATCCTGATTTCCTATAGCCTCTTGTCAGCAGTCTTGGTGGAGGCAACTTTCTAGTATTCAAGGATTGGCACTATGTCTCTGTAATCTCTCCTTCCTGTTCCCATCCCCCTTTCCCTTACCTCCTTCCTTCATACCTTGGTGCATGTGTATGTGTGTGTTTTTAAATATAATATGTATATTTGGATTTCAAGACCTAGGATGCCAGTGTACACCACATTACCCCTGGCAAATTCACCTCAGATTTTACTACAGAGTAAAAATTACACCAGTATACCAAGTGGGCATTATGAGCAACTCTTCTGAAGTAGAGAGAGTTGGTAGTAGTCTGTTTATATTGGGTAAACAGTTACCCTGGTATGATGGAGCTATGGGCAGGTTGCACATACACCAGCGTAACTTGACCCTGGGTAACTTTACCTCAAAATCTAGTGAATTACCATATTTTCTCATACGTAACCTGTACTACTACCACCAAACCAACTGGTGAAAATTGGGCTGCATATTGTATGCAAGAATTGTATACTTGGGGTGATCCAGTTATTTGGCAACAGAAGCAGTGGCGGCATTAATTGCCACTGCTCCTCTGCCACCAGATTTTTGGACTGGTGGGAGTCTCCCTGGCTAGATGACGTGGCCCCATGTACCAGGCTGGTGCATGAGATCTATCCAGTGCATGGCCCTCGACCCAGCACACAGGGCCTGCTTACTGACCCAGTCTGGCAGCTGGGACTGGCAGTAGGCTTGGCTCCTGGGCTGCTGCTACTGTTACTACAAGGAAGATTTTTTTTTTGGTAAGCTGCCTTTGAAAAACTTGAAAACAGAGGTGCATATTATCTATAATGGTGCACTGTATATGGTACTCTATAGAAAGGTAGAACATTGCATCTGTTGTGCTTTTGCTAAAGAGTAAAGTTGACTTCTCTAGAGTAAATGTGTTTTACCCTTTTACTCTGTAGATTGGAATACAATAGGTGGTAACAGTTCAGATAAAGATCAAAGTCATACATTTTTCACAATTGTGGGCATCTAAGATATAGTTAAAAAGGTGAAGAGTCTCCTTTTTGTTAAAGTAGCAAGCTTTTTATACAAGCATATTGGAATTGATTTCTAATAGGGGAAGAATTGGAAGTTTTATTACCTCTTTTGATCCTCGTTTCCTTTCTCTCATTTTAGAAAAAAGAAATCCACACAACGAAAAAGGTTAGTACTATATTAAATTGCTTTGAACGCGCACACTTTTTTTTTTTTTTTTTTTTTTTTTTTTTAAAAAAAAAAAAAAAAAAAGGGGGGCGGTAAAAAACATTATAAAAAAAAACAACTTTTTTTTGTGGGGGGTTTTTTTTTTTTAAAAAAAAAAAACCCCCCAAAGAAAAAGGTTTATATTTTTTTAAATTTTTTTTAACCCCCCCCCTTTTTTTTTTTTTTTTTTTTTTTTTTTAAGAAGCATAGAAGGCAATCTCTTTACTGTTCCCTGTGGTGGGAAACCCTTATGCATGGGTAGTAGACATTAGGTTCTTAAATCCTGCTAGGTAAGGAAGGCAACAAAACTTTGAGGGACTAAAACGTATTTGCTAGGTTTGCATTGCAGTATAAATTAATGAACCTGAGCCTTTCTCTCTACTTTTTCTGAATAACATGCAAGTTCTTGAATAATTATCATGATTATGATACGACCTGTTTTTCCCATGAATGTTCATGGCTGCTTTAAGATCATGTCTTTTGGTAGGATAAGATTAAACTAGGGCAGATAGTCAGAGCAAAGGGCAATGCCCAGAAACTTGTTTTTGAAATCCGGCCTGACTAAATGCTGATGATTGCTAAATGGCAATTGCTGCTCTGGCAACCTGTTGATTTAACCTGTCATCCATTAGGAAACATCTTAAGACCAGGAATTTGTGATTCTTTTAAATCTCATATTCAACATGGGGCTAATATTTTCCTAACTTTCATAAGTTTTCTAAGGGTCAATTTGTTTAGCTCTTTTTTAGTTAGTGGTAGTATGCTATGGTTTAAAGGCAAGAGAAAATATGCTATGCTTGGAAGAACCTTAAGTCTTAAAAGCTCATAAGATGTGAAAGTTCACAAGATTGTTCTGTATTACCACAGGTTTCTTGTTTGGTGCTTATTTGGTACACCCTACCAGTAATTGGGAAACAGTAGAAGGATGTTTTCAAAGAAAATACAAAAAAAAAAAAGGAAAATCGGACCTGTTTTATTTAAGCATCAGGAAGAATAGCATAAACACTGAAATGTTCAAGAACCTTGGGGAAAGTATTTTATTTTAATACTGAGTTAGTAGAATATTTTACAGTATACTAGACTCCAGGTTTTATAGTAAGATATCTCTGTTCCAGTGTCTACAGCTCATAGTAGAGAAAAAACAGTATTTTTGATTACCAAACTGGCAATTTCAACACACATATAGTGGCTATATGCCAGACTATATATTTTTTGTCTCCTTAATCCTGGGGTTATTTTTCCCTTGAGTTTGAGTGGGAATGCATAGCAAGAAAGGATTAAGCATTTAAAATTAAATATATTTAACTTCAGTGGTTAATATTGATACCACTGGAATTCATCTGCATCTGAGATCAGTTTAACCCATCCACTTCCAGTGAAGAGTTCCTCTTTTTCATCGTATATAAGGACTGGACTTTTTTTTTCTTTGGGAGATCATGAAATTGGCTCACTAAATTGCTAGAAGAGTCACTTTGCGGGTAATACAAATAATTTTCCATTTCTTCTGTCTCTCTAAATTACTTCCAGGTTTTACAGTACTAGCTTTACCCTGTGATTTTGGTACAAGACACTGGAATCAAAGTAGAATTCCTGTATGGCCCAGCAAACATGAATTTCCCAAAACAAACATTTGCAATTCTAAGTGGATTTTGGGGGTTAGTAAAATGCAGATTTGGCTTTGTCAGGCATATAGCTTATAACACCAGAAAACAGTTCCAGCAAAATGTGCATTTTGTAAACTAATTATTTTGTATCCTTTAATCTGTGGTTTGAAGTGTGGCAGGATAAATGGTGACCCATGTTCATGCTTTATTTAATCCCTTTCTGCTCAGGAAAAACTTAGTTTCTGAAAAACAAAAATACTCTCACAAACCTGTGCACTTGCATTCTCTGTGTTGTTGTATGACCCCGTCTACTGATGTGCAACCTCATGTTTTATTTGCTTTGTCTGAACAGCAGTGAGAAATTTCTATGGTTTAAAAGTAATACTGATGACAAGCTTTCCCATACACAGAATCCGGTTTTCAGAAGGGCATATAGTGTTACCTTTTTTTAAGCATCTCATAGAAGCTGGCACCTCAGTCTGGGTTCCTCTGTTAGGCCAGATATGTTTGTGGTGTGTTCCTACTGTTTTCATCTGCCTTTGTATTTGTAGCATGTGGAATATGTTTGCTGAAACAAGCAGCGTTCGCTAGCTAACATTTGAGACGGGGGATGCATTTGGTCTTCCAGCTCATTTTTTATTATTATTTCAAACTGATAAACACAATTTTGAAATATTTTTGTAATGGTAACCCTAAATTGGTTGGGTGTTTCTAGAGTGCCTATCAGCAGGGAACTGCAGCATCATAATAGTTGCATAGCATTCATGTTATTACTTGATCTCTTATTCAGCCATTTGCAACCACAAGTTAAAACTACTATATTTCTAATTGGGAGGAGGGAAAAGAATGCCACAGAACTAGTCATCTCAGAAGCCAACCATGCATCAAACTTTATTAAGCAGAAAAATTATGATTATGAAACAGAATTATGTGGAAACTAACTGTAGAATTTGGTAAGACTTTGTACACTTAATCTGTATTTTTTACCAGCTTTTCCTTTGACACTTAGCTGGGCCATATTAATAGCCAGTAAGAGTGAGCGTGTGCTGGTTTGTCTGATTTGTTAAAGCAGGATAATATATTTTTTCAATTGCCTGGGCAGCATTTGTTCTTTTCTAAATATATTTCAAACTATAGTAGTAAATTGTAAGCAAGAGAGGTAAATTGAAAAAAAACAAAAATTTTGAAATAGATACGAAAGATAAGGATATTGGTTTGTCTAAATCTAATTATATTACTAATTAAGTTAGTTCTGCTTGACTATGAAAACCTTGATGAACTGATCACAAGATTTTCCTTTTAAAGTTGATGACACTCTGTTAATTCAAGTGCAAGATATGCCTGAAATTTTCTGAATGTTCCCCAAACATACTGCTGGTTTAGGACATGAACAACCTTTTGAGTTACTTGAGTAACTGTAGTTCCTACCTCACAAAGATGGATTGTAGACTCTTATCTTCAACTGTAGAGTAGAAGTGAAATGCAAGGATCTACGGCCTTGTAGTAAAACAGGTGTGGTTCTGGTGTATATAGTGTAGGGTGGGAATGGAGATCCACATAGAAGCTGCATACCTCCTTCATGCTAAGAACCCAGCTGTATGAAGGCTCTTTGCATACAGATGGGCTAAAAAGGTTTGGGTTTAAAGCCTTTGCTTCAGCCACAGGGCTAATCCACCAGCTATCTTCTTACAAGAGCAGAACGGTTCCATTGCATTGCTCAGTTGTAACTGATAGAGGTAAGAGATTTTCCTTATGCAGCTTGGGTCCCAAACAGCGTATCAGGAACAATTCATTTCTGTTTCTGACCCTCCCTGGCCTCAGGAAGACCGCATTGCACCTAGTTGCATGTAAAATATTTCTTCACAAATGTAAAGGCTAGGGGTGCACCGGTAAAGATTTTCTTGGCTGATTATTAACCAGACATATTGGCCGATACCAATCCAATAGCCTATTTACAGGAATGCAGCCCGGCAGCTTGGAGAGCAGCGTCTGGCCAGTAAGGCAATGGGAAAGAAGGGGGCGTTGGTGGGGGGTGCAAATCCAGGTGAGGCAGGCACTGCCCAGCTGGGAGTTGGGTGGAATTGTGTGCGACTTGTCCAGGGGTGTGAGGGGGGTGGTGAGTGGGAAGGGGGTGGCTTTGTGGGTGGGAAGGGGGTGGTGAGTGGTGGTGGTGCTGGGGAGGGGTGGCTATGGCGAATTTTGGGGAGGTTAAAATCCACCACATAGCCCCCTCCCAGCTTGGCCACCACCTGCCCCAAGCCCAGTCCCACCACCAGGAAGAGGCTAGTGCAGCCCCGGCCCCAATCCCACAGAGGGCAGCCTGCCCTCACCTCGCATGCAAATCCAGGAGGGGTGCTTATGTCTCCCCTGTGAATGCGTGCAGTAGCAGGGAGCCGCCCCTGCCCCACTCCCTCCTTCACTGTGGGGGCCTTGATCTGACCCCCCCCCCGACTTACCAGCAGCAGGCTTCTTTTCAAGCTGCTCAGCTGTGTTCCTGGCCGTGTGCAGGCTGTGGCTGCGTGCATGCATGCAGCATTTATTGGTGACATTATTGGCTACACGGGCCAAAAAAAAAAGCCAGTTGCTGATGTTATTTTTTCTGTTATTGTTGCCCATCCAATATGCGCCCAATATATTGCTGCACCTCTCATAAAGGCTTGAAAAAAATATAAGCTTAAATTTTATAGTAAGTAGGTCATGAGACTTAGCAGTTTCCTACTGCCCACAGGTAAGCATATCAATGGACTTGAGAAAACTTTAATAGAATGTATGTTGTCCTCCCAAGAAGGTACTAAAACCTAAATAGCAGGAATCTAGATACTGAAGTGTGTGTGTGAGGGGGGTGTTGTTTTTATACAAGGTGTATGAACCTTTTCATGTGAAGTGACAAAGATACCAGTTTAAGGGGTTGTGGAGAGTCCTGTTACACCTGAGAACTAGTATTGCTTTAGTATTTTTATAATTCCTGTTTAAGAAGATAAGAGTTGTTTAATTTGTAGAAAATAGTGAAAAGATTTCTGGCTGTTGTGGATCTCACAGCCTTGTCGTTTAGGGCTCATTCTTCAAACCATTAGCAAACTATACTTTTGATTATATAAGAGGTATGACCTCTGCACATGTTGGCTACCTGAAAAGACTGCAAAATGTTTTTAATTTTAATAAGTTTCTATCTCAGAGGCATTCCATTGTCTGGTATTTTCCACGTCTATCTCAAGGGTTAGCTTATCTCGCTAAACTTGACTGCTGAGATGCTGAACAGTGAAACAGCTCTGCAACCTTATGCTTTTTTTCTTCTTGTGTTTTTGTTAGGTTTTGTTTTTTAAAAAAAGCTCCTCTTCTATTTTGTCATCTCTTTGT